CTCCAGAACGTTCTGCCAGGCACAGCGCGCGTCGTGTTCGGATGCCGCAGAGGACTGTCGCCCGACAGGCTGCTGCACAACGGCTGGGTGGACCTGTTACGACGCTTGGCCCTGGCTGGATCTCTGCGAAAAGGGTTTAGGGTTTAGGGTTTAGGGGGTACCCGAGCTGCTGAGGTGGCCTACAAGACTCCGAACTTGCTTGCTGAACAAGTAGGCTATTATTCTAAAGCTCCTCGTAGGATTCTCCAGGCTCCAGGTAGCCTACGAACCAGAGGGTCTAGGGTTTAGGGTTTAAAAGGAGCGAAAAGCCAATCAAAATGCTTCTGATGCATTGGTGGGCTGTGTCAAAAACCCAGGGTTTCTGCGAGCTTCTGACACTGATTCATTGGTGGGCTGTGGGGCTGCGCGGGTGCTTACAAGGAGCGAAAAACCAACCCAAACTTAGGGATTTTGCAAGCTTCTGATCCATTGGTGGGCTGTGGAAAGATTTTTTGGGTGAGCTTTTTCTCTTTCAACACCAACAAGGGAAAGGCATTCATTGTTGTGTTGTTTTGTGTGTGAAGCTTGGAAGCTTCAGAAGGATTTTGCGACTTGCTTGACTGCGTAATGTGTTGAGATTGCGGCTTGATTGTGACTTGAAGCAGCTTGTGCAATGCGACTTGGGTCTTGTTGTGACGGCGAAGCTTGGTAGATTGTGATTGTTGTTGAGATAGCGAAGTCATTGATTCAGCTTCAGTGAAGCAGCTTGTGTGTGGTCTGGCTTAGTGCGACTTGAGTACAGCATCATGTAAGTGTCAGCTGCATTGCTCGAGGCTTTTCCAGCCCCTTCAGCTTGCCGTAAACAGCTTCCGAGGCGAGGAATGCATTCGGGTTTGTGGCACTACCAAATTTTACTTCCTTCGGAAGAACACCGAAGTGTCAGCTTTGTTGGAACACTGCCGCAACCTGCCCCGCCCACTCCCTACACAGCTCCCAGCAGCCCCACCAGCGTCGCCCGCTCCTGCGCCAGGAACACGCGTGCCCCATCCAACTAATTTGATGGAGCTGCTCCAGATCACTACTCGCTTGCACCTTGATATTGACAGCCTAAGTGTGCCGATCACGGTGGAAGATGTTGGAATGTTTTCTGACTGCTGAGAACTGGAAGGAGGAATTGAAAGGCCAAAATCATCGGTGCTCCCGCCGGGACTGGAGATCTTATGCCATCTAATTCACGCCGAGTTTGATGCGAGCGGCCTGCAGCATCCGGTGCTCGAGGGACAATGCTCACCTGCAGCTCAGCGCTGTGAAGCGGCCTTGCGGGTCGCGTCTCTTGGCGCAGGTTCTTCGCCGTGCCAGAGACAAGATGCCCTTTCGTCTTTTCTTGTCTGGCTATGGGACGAAGCTCCCCGCGCAGGATGTTTGGGCACGTCTGGAAGCGGCGTGGTTCCGGATGAAGCGTTTCGAAGCTACAACAGAAACTCTACTACTTACTAGGTAGATCTCTGACTAGCTATGAACCAATTTAGGATATCTTACGACAAATGAAGCTGAAAACCGCTACACGGCCCCAGAGACCTATACCATCTAATGAGCTGAAACAAGCCCGCCCTAGGCTGTCATCCTTTAGCAGCTAAGGCTCGCTTGCGTGTGACGAGAGGACATGATCTGCACGGCCAAGGCGCCTTTTGCAACGTGTGTAATAGGCTCCAAGTGATCAATGAATGCTGTTTGCTCAAGGGCTGAAGCAATGGGGCTGAACACACAACAAACAGTCTATATTCAGAGACTTTTCGCTATCGGATGGCAAACCGCTGGTAGTGGCCACCCCGTCGTCTGCGTCCCCGATGGCAGCCTACACACGTCTCCGGGCTTAACACAATTCAAGCACCGACCCGAACGTCATTACATGTTCGGGTTGCTTGCAGGTGGCGGCGGTGGGTTACGGCGAGCGAGCGAGCGAGCGAGCGAGCGAGAGAGAGAGAGAGAGAGAGAGAGAGAGAGAGAGAGAGAGAGAGAGAGAGAGAGAGAGAGAGAGAGAGAGAGAGAGGAGAGGAGAGAGGGAGAGAGGAGGGAGAGAGAGAGGGAGGGGGAGGGGGAGGAAGGGGAGGGAGAGGGAGGGAGAGGGAGGGAGAGGAGAAGGGAGAGGGGAGGAGAGGGAGGGAGAGAGGGAGAGAGAGGAGAGAGGGAGAGAGAGGGAGAGGGAGGGAGCGAGAGAGCGACGGGGAGAGAGGGCCGGGCACGCATTGGGAAGTCCCTGAAGAAACCATGACACTAAATGTCGAGCAGGGAGGCGGAAGGAGACAAGAAAGAGGAGAAAGAGAAGAAAGAAAGAAAAGAAAGAAAGAAAGACCGCAGCAACAGTCTCTGAAACGGAAAGTCCACAATCGGGGAGATCTTCTTCCGCTAGGTCAAGTCCCATCCTTTTCTGCTAAACAAACGTGAAGAGCAGCACTCATGGATGAATCAGCGATTTCTACACAGTATTAAACGGTAGTTTCGGAGTTTATGTTCCGCCGGGACGTATGCTTGACGTATTCTTCAGCTTGGGCGTGTCAATTCCTTTGCGCGCAGCATGCGTGACTGCAAGGGTCGCCTCCACCGTTATGGAGTTGATGTCCAGTTCACTTATTACCAACTGTGTCAGTCGGTTTGGGTTGAAATGACGGTTCATCCATTCGTGGTACCCGGTTGTGATTCCATGCGCGGTAGATTCTGACGTTTGGGATTTAGCCTCCCGCCCGCACCACACACGTTCCTGCCGTACTACGTTCTCCGGTACAACCTCTTCCGAATTGGCACGTGCTCTTGTTCGACCATGCTGGTAGGAACGTCAGCTTCCAGCTTCAAGGATTGTTGGCATTGGAGGCGCGGAAGCTTTGAATGCTTTTGTCACTTTCCCTCACGCCATTATGCATCTGTTGGCCATGTTGCAAGGAGGAGGAGGCGTCAGCCGGCGCATCGTGCTCCGCCACTCGGCCGGTTAGAGTGGAGTGTCAAGAAGCAAGTGCGTGCACATACATACATGTCCCATGATTGGATTGAGATGCTGTGCTGTAGCCCAAGTCCGCAGTGACCTGCGTCTTCTGCTGTGTGCATAAGCGCAACGCTGCCCGAGTGAGACATGTTGGGATAGAGATTCTGCAGCGGAGGATCCACGTGTACTTCGTACTGTTCCATCTTGCCGGCTCACTCTAGCAGCTATGATTTTCTGCGATGATTGCCATTAGGACGCGTATTCATGGCTTTGCCATGAATATTCGTGCTATTGTTGCTGCTGCGGCTGTCCTGCAACTCTCGTCTTAAATACCGCAATTCTCAATACATCACGATGACGATCGTTGAAAAACTCATGGCTCTTCTGCTTCCAAGGCCCACGGGCAATAGCTCACAGTTCTCCAGGCCCAGCCACCGATACAAATGTAATATCATTACCACCATCACGCGCATGATTACAAATGTAATATCATTACCACCATCACGTGCATGATTACCGTCACTGCGATTAAAACCTTTACTTTTCCAGTCTGATCAGGATTGTTCTGCAACCCTCATTGTTTTCAGGCCGTGTAAAGGCTGCAATTCACAATATTGACCAGCCCCAAACCAGAAAAAAAACGCTGGCGTGGCATATTGGTACGATGGTTATATATCTGCGTATTTCTTATCATCTATATACGTATTTATATTTATATTTACTTATGATATTGAATATACATATGCCTTATACGAGTGGCATTGTCGTCATGTTTTCCCAGGCGAAACCCCCGGGCCATACCGAGGCTCAGGGTTTGTGTGTGCGCGCGTGGGAGTTGGAATATATGTCTGACATCGACATGCGTTTTGGAGTTGCGTCGTTCAATGCGCACCTTCCCGAGCACCTCATGGTCCGCATCGCGGCCGACAGCATGTCTGCGGCCGATGTGCGGGCGCTGCGCCAGCGGCGCGCAGACTCCTTCGACTGGCAAGCCGTCGCAATAGCTGCAGGTTGGCGTTATGGACACATGGGCGCGCAACAGGTCGAGTCGGTATAGAAAGTGGCGCGGGGATTGTATATTTTGACGTTAAACACACGTGCACACCCCAGGTGATGCTTCAGTCAGCAGCTGGACCTGTGTACGACGTTTGCCGCCTCACCAAGTGGCGGCGTTCGGTCCGGAGGCCAGCAGATTTTGCGGCCGCCGCGCAATCTGGCCGGGTCACTGGCCCATTGGGCGAGGACCTGGCCGTGGCTACTGTAAATCTTTCAGCATTGGGCCACCATCTCCACGTGAATCGCCGGCCTGCCTAACTAGCTTCTGACAACGCTTTATCATTGTCAAACATGATGTACATATGTGGCGATTTGTTTTGATTGGCAGAGTGTGATTCGCAGACAAGCTGATCTCTCATGTTCCAAAGCTGCCACATGCTAGCTCATGTGCGACTAGCGCATGCTTATAGATGAAGTCTTCCTACTCATATCCTGAACTGAACAGCTTGTCCCGACTACGTGGCACGTAGTCCGGACACTGCTCCAAGTAGTCAGAGTGGCGCCTAGGTGATTGAAAATGGTACTTCGGGCTACCGTGGGATCGTCCGGCTTTATACAAATTGTAGAGGGTTTTGATTAGGGGGGGGGCGGGGGGGCGGTCAGGGTCTTGTGGGTGGTCTTTTATTTGGGGTTTTAAGGGTTTAGGGTTTTAGGGTAAAAGGTTTAGGGAATAGGGTGTAGGGTTTAGGGTCCGGCCGCTCCTGAGGAGAAGAACGAGTACTGGGCCTCCTGCCGGCAGAGCTGCGAGCCCGGTGCCATCGACCCAACGGATGCGCCGGAGTATCAGACACCTTGGACGTGCAGCATCATCGGCGGCTCCACCCCATCTCCGTCTCCCCAGCCGTCGCCGTCTCCTTCGCCTTCGCCCACGCCGAGCCCGCCCAATCCGGCGCCCGGAATGGCGTTCACCACCGGCACGGCCGGCACGGGAAAAGCCAGGCTCTTCGAGTTCGTGGATGTTTTGAGTGATCAGCCAGTGGCCGGCTCCATGGCCAGAGCGGTGCACTCGTCGGGTGGGGCTGCCGGAGGCGTGGTCAGCGAGAGCCAAGGGTATGGGCTCCTTTTGACCGGTGCCGTCCTGGCATCTCTGCCACCAGATGACCCGGACCACCAGCGCATCATGGATCTCACCCACGAGATGTTCCTGGGCTGGCGGCGCATGTGCGAGCTTTCTGCAGGCAGTGGCAGCTGCCAAGACGACGAGGGCTTCCAGTGTGGAGGAGGCAAGTACCCATGCCTGGCTCATTGGAAGTTCGACGATGACCTGACGAACATCATCGGGTCGGGTTCCGCCCCGGACGGCGATGCGGATGCGCTTGCCGGCATGTTGCTCGCGGTGCTGTCTGTGGAAAGGGAAGCTTCCCAGCCCAGTTGGCTGGACGAGGCTGGCTGGGTCTTTGTGCAAAGCCAAGCATCAGAGAGAGGGACACAGAGGGAGAGAGAGAGAGAGAGAAGACAGAGAGAGACAAACAATAGTCACGACAAAGCACACAATAAAAAGAGGAAGGAGACAGAAAGAGAGAGAGGGAGATGGACATATCGTTTTGTTTTGGGGGTGGCAAGGTCTTGTGCTTGGCAGGTTGGTCAGTGGGCCTATGACACATGCAAGCAGTTCTACATGAGCAGCACGGTCGCTTCCAGCTCGGGCAACCACCGCATCGTGAAGCTGGGTGCCTGCTGGGGCGGCTGGGACGGACAAGGCCAGAATCCCAGCTACCACGCTCCCGCAGTCTACAGGATGTGCCGCAACTACATGAAGTCGCACGACACCCGCTATGGGACGTCGGCGGACGAGGGCGAGAATTTGGAGGCAGAGTGGAACAAGGTCATCGCGACGACCTACAAGGTTTTCGATGCGACGCAGTGCCCTTCCAACGGTCTTGTACCCAACTGGGCCAAGATTTCGGAGGAAGGGCAGAGCCTGCGCGCCACGATGGGCTTCTCTGGCAGTGGCACGCCTGGCGCCGAATACGGTTCCGAAGCAAGCCGCGCTGTTTGGCGCGTGGCCCTTGACTACCTGCTCTTTCCCAACGAGGCTGGGGACGCTGCAGCCTTCCTCGATCCCCTTGCAGCCCACCTGGAGACGAAGGAGACCAACGGCAACTGGGACGAGGCGCTCGATGTGGATGGCAGCTGCCTCGTCGACAGCGTGCACAGCAGTTGGTCCTGGAACATGCCCCTGGGCTGCCGCACGTAACACTCTCTCGGAACCTGTCGTCGAACGTCTGTTTTGATCGTATACAAGATTCATGCATAAACTCTATGAACCCTATAAACCCTATGAACCCCTATAAACCCTATAAACCCTTATGCCTATAAACCCGCCCGCTCAGTTCAGAGGCTCCAAATTTAGCCCTAGATGCCAACACTGCTCAATGAAACCGCGGCATACCAGTGAACACGAGGTGCTGCACAACATGTCTTCCAACACTAAAAGTATACAAGGTTAATTAGGGCCTAAACCCTATAAACCCGATGTCAACCCTATAAACCCCGTAAGCCGGAAACCCTGTACACCCGATAAACCCTATGAACCCTAAACCCTGTAAGCCCTGTAAACCACAGTAAACCGTGCAAACCTTAAACCGTGTAAACCCTAAGCCCTAAACCCTAAACCCTAAGCCCTAAACCCTAAACCCTAAATTCTAAACCCTAAACCCTAAACCCTAAACCCTAAACCCTAAACCCTAAACCCTAAACCCTAAACGTTTCGGGTTTAGGAAAGCGCAGGTTCATGGCCGGTCCCACCTTTGCATGCCTCGTGTGCCCCGCCAACTCTGTGCAAGAGGATCTTCCAGGGTTTAGGGTTTAGGGTTGAGGGTTTTGGGTTTTGGGTTCTGGGTTCTGGGTTTTGGGTTGAGGGATCGTGAGCCCTTTATTGTGAGGACACTGCCAAGCCTTTTGCATAAGTTGAGCTTTGGGGTTTAATTTGGGTTTGGAGGGGGGGATTCGTTTGGGTCTAGGCTTTGGGGTTAGGGCTTAGGGCTCAGGGCTCAGGGCTCAGGGCTCAGGGCTCAGGGCTCAGGGCTCAGGGCTCAGGGCTCAGGGCTCAGGGCTCAGGGCTCAGGGCTCAGGGCTCAGGGCTCAGGGCTTAGGGCTTAGGGCTTAGGGCTTAGGCTGACCCAGTTGTGCGTGGTTACCTAAACCATCCGAGTTAAACCCTAAGCTTTTTAAACCCAAAACCCACACACACCCTAAGCCCTAAACCCTAAACCCTAAACCCTAAACCCTAAACCCTAAACCCTAAACCCTAAACCCTAAACCCTAAACCCTAAACCCTAAACCTAAACCCACAGACCCTAGCGCTTTGCTGGCCACAGGACCGCCAACAGGAACTGATCGATGCGGCCGGGCAGCGGGTGGCCTCGAAGGCCATTACGGATTTAGGGTTTAAGGTTTAGGGACTAGGGTTTAGGGTTTAGGGTTTAGGGGTTTAGGGTTAGACTTTAGTGTTTTGGGGTTAGGGGTAGGGTTTAGGGCTTAGGGTTTAGGGGTTAGGGTTTAGGGCCCTAGGGTTTGACAACCTTGGACCGCGTAGCCCTACAAGGGGTTTAGACTTTAGTCGGGATTCAGGTTTTGGAGTGTAGGGTTTCCAGGGCGCAGGGTCTAGAAGTCTTGTCCCACTAATCATTGAGTTTAAGAGGCAAGAGCCTTTCTCGTCGGGAATATCTCTCAGAAGGACCACACACGTGGGAACAAAAAGGAACCCGAAACATTTGTCTAGGTGGCCCCTAAACCCTAAACCCTATAAACCCTAAACCCTAAACCCTCAACCCTAGTATAGTTCTCTTGAAGCGACCCGTACTCACTCTGCCGAAGCACCTCCTTGTAGTTCTCTCTGTAGCTCTCTTGTTCGGTGGGGGGGGGAGGGGGGGTTGTGAAGTCACAGCCGGGAACCCTACAACGCCGCTCTTTAGGCTCAAAATCGCACAAATCCTGGTTTAAGAAGGCCTTTGGTCCCAAGGATGTACCCTATCCCTTAGGCCCAAAATAGCCCACAAACCTTGTTCAAGAAGGCCGTAGGGCCTTCGGGTATAGTCTTAGTTCGCACAGCTGGAAAGCAGTAAGTCTGTCGTGGTTGAACTGCTCGGAGATGGGATGTGTAACTCCCTAAACGCAACTTAGTATGTTATTAGTTACGCCCAAAATCCCTTAAGCCTAAACCCTACACCCTAACCCTAAGAACCCTAAACCCTAGGCCCTAAGACCCGAAAACCCTAAACCCTAACCAAGGCTCTTGATCCGAGGTGCCTGAATCCTAAATCCTTGTCTTGCCCTCTAAACCCAAATCCGGACGAGGTACCCTAGACTCCCTTAAAGGGCAAAAAAAACATATACATATATATATATATATGTATGTACATATACAGGGCCCTCATTCCCAAACCCCAAACCCCAAACCCCAACCCTAAACCCGAAACCCTAAACCCTACTAAGAACCAGGGGGCTTTCCCCCAAAAAAACCCTCGAGGCCATTAGTGACTACTACTCGGGCAGCTGGATTGCCATCAGCACCATCACCCTGCAGCTTGCCTGCGAAGAAGCCAGCGTCTGTTATTAGGGTCAAAACCCTGCGCCCTAAACCCCCTAAACCCTGGCGCTTCGGGTCGTCCACGTGAGGTGTAAACACATCGAACCAGAAGGTTCCATGCTGTCAGGGCCCTCGAAACTTTGAAGTGAACCCCATGAGCCCGAATTGTGACCTCTTGCGCCCGAAGCCCGAAACGCATATGTTCATAGCACCTAGAACTCACTTTCGGGCCTCAAATACTTACAACTTGGGGGCTTACTTGCAGATCCCCCAACTACCCTTAAAGGATTGTAATACGGCCCGAGGGCCCAGAGTGGCAGGTACTTAGGGGGCAACATTTAGAGGGTAGTTCGACTTGCCTCTGGTATGGGTTGGGGTACAGTTTTGGGTGTTGAGGGTATGGTTTAGGGACCCCTAAACCCTAAACCCTAAACCCTAAACCCCAAACCCCAAGCCCCAAACCCCAAACCCTCATCCCAGGAACGGTGACCTATCCCGAGCCGCTGACCGGGCAGGTCTTCTGGGTACCAGCCCACCAGCACCCCCGACCCCATCTCCGACTCCCAGCTCCTTGAGCTTCGTTTAGCTGGAGATTTTAGGGGTTTAGGATTTAGGGTTTAGGGTTTAGGGTTTAGGGTTTAGGGTTTAGGGTTTAGGCTATGTGGGTGGGGGTTTAGGGTATAGGCTTCCGGGAGAGTTTGTATTTGGTTAAGTGCAGCCGTGGCATTGGGGTTGATGCATGGAGATGGGCATGCCCTCTTCGACCCTTCCCAGCCTCACCATAACCAACATCAGCAACAGTTGACATGCCCCAAGGTTTGGGCCCAGGATTCTGTTATATGTCTGGGAGGTTCGTATGCGACGGAGAAGAGGGCTGAGAGAATCTGTAACCCTCAACAATAACCCTAAACCCTAAACCTAAAGCCCTAGCATGCCTGGTTTGCAGCAAGTCTCCGAAGCTTTGTAGCACCAGTACCAAAAAGGCATCCTGTCGGGTTCTGGCGTATGGGCCCTTGGGTTTCTGCAGTTTATTTATGTAAGGCGTATTGTAAGGGTTCACCATAGGGCCCATAGCAGGGGACCCCAAACCCCAAACCCCAAACCCCAAACCCCAAACCCCAAACCCCAAACCCCAAACCCCAAACCCCAAACCCCAAACCCCAAACCCCAAACCCTAAACCCTAAACCCTAAACCCCAAGACAGGCCCAACGCCCCCACCGGGAACCACCTTGCCGGTGACTTCCACCCTTGCGCCTACCACAAGCACCGGTTCCACTGGAGGCACCTGTTGGGCCTTCTGGGGTTTCGGGGTTTAGGGTTAAGGGTTTAGGGTGTTTAGGGTTTGGGGTTGTGCCCAGGGGTTCCGGAGCTTATTGAAGCTGGGGGTACTTAAGGCCGGGCCGACCGATCTAGGGCATTCTTCAACGCACAACTGATCCATGAGTCAAGCTTTGTGTCCCTTAAATCTATGACCCCGTGCATAAACCCTAAACCCTAATAGGTACCTGACAAAGGGACCATATCTTAGAGAGCTCCCGGAGACCGTCTTTGTTCCCTATAGCCCCTCTGCCAGGACCTCTCAATTCCCGAAGGCTTATAGTAAGGGCCATAAAAGTTTAAGTTTCCTTCTTCAGGTTACACCCTAAACCCTAAACCCTAAACCCTAAACCCTAAACCCTAAACCCTAAACCCTAAACCCTAAACCCTAAACCCTAAACCCTCCTAACACAAGTAAGTATGGCAAACCCCAAGCTCAGTGTTCAATGGGTTTAGTGGGCTTTCGGCCCTGGAGTCCATCGTACTGATACCTGGATACCCTAAACCCTAAACTGGCCCTAAACCCTAAATCCTAAACCCTAAACCCTAAACCCTAAACCCTAAACCCTAAACCCGATGCATCTTGCTACTCCGCAGGCACGTGCTCAGAGGCCGCGGAGGACTGCCGCACAACGGGCTGCTGCACCAATGCCGGATGGACCTGCTACGAGACTTGGGAAAATTCCTAAACCCTAAACCCTAAACCCTAAACCCTAAACCCTAAACTCTAAACCTAAACCCTAGACGTTAAACCTATGTAGGTCGTTCGGGGTTGGGCGACGCGCCGTCCTGTATGGCGGCCAAGGAGAAGAATGAGTACTGGGCCTCCTGCCGGCAGAGCTGCGAGCCCGGAGCCATCGACCCAACCGATGCACCGGAGTATCAGACGCCTTGGACGTGCAGCATCATCGGCGGCTCGACCCCATCTCCGTCTCCCCAGCCGTCGCCGTCTCCTTCGCCTTCGCCCACGCCGAGCCCTCCCCCCACGCCGAGCCCGCCCAACCCGGCGCCCGGAATGGCGTTCACCACCGGCACGGCCGGCACAGGAAAAGCCAGGCTCTTCGAGTTCGTGGATGCCTTGAGTGATCAGCCAGTGGCCGGCTCCATGGCCAGAGCGGTGCACTCGTCGGGTGGGGCTGCCGGAGGCGTGGTCAGCGAGAGCCAAGGGTATGGGCTCCTTTTGACCGGTGCCGTCCTGGCATCTCTGCCACCAGATGACCCGGACCACCAGCGCATCATGGATCTCACCCACGAGATGTTCCTGGGCTGGCGGCGCATGTGCGAGCTTTCCGCAGGCAGTGGCAGCTGCCAAGACGACGAGGGCTTCCAGTGTGGAGGAGGCAAGTACCCATGCCTGGCTCATTGGAAGTTCGACGATGACCTGACGAACATCATCGGGTCGGGTTCCGCCCCCGACGGCGATGCGGATGCGCTTGCCGGCATGTTGCTCGCGGTGCTCTCTGTGGAAAGGGAAGCTTCCCAGCCCAGTTGGCTGGACGAGGCTGGCAGGGTCTTTGCGGAAAGCCAGAGAGAGGTACAGAGAAAGAGATAAACAATAAACATATCAGGGCACATAACAAAAAGGTAAAAGGAGCGAGAGAGAGAGAGAGAGAGAGAGAGAGACAGAGAGTGAAAGAGAGAGAGAGAGAGAGTGCGTGTGAGAGAGAGGGAGATGGACATGTCGTTTTGTTTTGGGGGTGGCAAGGTCTTGTGCTTGGCAGGTTGGTCAGTGGGCCTATGACACATGCAAGCAGTTCTACATGAGCAGCACGGTCGCTTCCAGCTCTGGCAACCACCGCATCGTGAAGCTGGGTGCCTGCTGGGGCGGCTGGGACGGACAAGGCCAGAATCCCAGCTACCACGCTCCCGCAGTCTACAGGATGTGCCGCAACTACATGAAGTCGCACGACACCCGCTATGGGACGTCGGCGGACGAGGGCGAGAATTGGGAAGCAGAGTGGAACAAGGTCATCGCGACGACCTACAAGGTTTTCGATGCGACGCAGTGCCCCTCGAACGGTCTTGTACCCAACTGGGCCAAGATCTCGGAGGAAGGGCAGAGCCTGCGCGCCACGATGGGCTTCTCTGGCAGTGGCACGCCTGGCGCCGAATACGGTTCCGAAGCAAGCCGCACTGTCTGGCGCGTGGCCCTTGACTACCTGCTCTTTCCCAACGAGGCTGGGGACGCTGCAGCCTTCCTCGATCCCCTTGCAGCCCACCTGGAGACGAAGGAGACCAACGGCAACTGGGACGAGGCGCTCGATGTGGATGGCAGCTGCCTCGTCGACAGCGTGCACAGCAGTTGGTCCTGGAACATGCCCCTGGGCTGCTACATGTCTAGTAGCCTCGGAACCTCTCGTCGACGCAGAAAGCCGTCAACTCCAAACCCTAAACCCTAAACCCGAAGCCCTAAACCCTAAACCCTAAACCCGAAACCCGAAACCCGAACCCGAAACCCTAAACCAACCTAAGACCGAAATCCGAGAAGCCCTCAACCCCAAGATTCCCTAAAAGCCCTGGGAGGTTCATGGCCGGCCCTACCTTTGCGTGCCTCGTGTGCCCTGCCAACTCTGTGCAAGAGGAGCTTCCAGGGTTTAGGGTTTAGGGTTTAGGGTTTAGGGTTTAGGGTTTAGGGTGTAGGGTTTAGGGTTTAGGGTTTGGGTTGAGGGATCGTGAACCCTTTTTCGGGGTGCTTTCAGGGACTTTAGGGCCCTTAGAACTTCAGTTTCTGAGGGCTGTAGGGATTTGAGGGTTCAGGGTGTACAGTGGGTGTTACAGGGTTTAGGGCATAGGGTTTAGGCTTTAGGGTTTTGTGGTGTTGTTTTCGGAGGACCGTCAGCAAGAGCTCATCGATGCGGCTGGCAGGAGGGTGGCGACCAAGGCAACTTTGGGGATTGAGGGCCCTGTTCCCAAAGCACGCCCACCCCTTTCTCCCTATCCCCTCTTCCTCTCTGCATCTCTCAAACCCTAAGCCCTAAACCCTAAACCCTAAACCCTAATGATGATTGGTGCTCTCTCAATCTCTGCCTCCCTCTCGCTGTCTTTCCTTCTCCCGCCGGTCACCTGGCATCCTCAAGCCGCCCACCCCCCAGGGTTTAGGGTTTAGGGTTTAGGGTTGGTTTAGGGTTTAGGGTTTAGGGTTTCGGGTTTAGGGTTTGGGTCAATATCCTAAATGCTGCCAGGCCATTGACGACTACTACTCCGGAAGCTGGATTGCGACTCCCGGCCGCATTTTATAGCTTAGGGTTTAGGGTTTAGGGTTTAGGGTTTAGGGTTTAGGGTTTAGGGTTTAGGGTTTACGGCTAGTCTTTAGGGTTTCGGGCTTGGGGTGTTACAGTTTAGGGTCTACGGTATTTAGATTTAGGGGTTAGGGTTTATAACAGGGTTTATAGGGTTTAGGGCTAAGAGTTTAGGGCTTAGGGCCTTAGGGTTTAGGCGGTTTAGGGTTTAGGGTCTAGCGTTTCGGGTCCTTTCGAAGGCCGTTGCTTGGTGTGCCCCTGCTGCTCTTCATGCCTTGAAGTTTTGCACGCCCGTGGCCTGCAAGCCCCACACAAGCCTACCGAGCCTTTTTAAGAGCAGCCTATACCCTAAACCTTAAACCCTAAGGGTCCATGTACCTAAATAGGGAATAGGGTCTAGGGTTTAGGGGCCTTAAAGTAATTGCCTACATAAGGCTTAAGGCTTTTTGGGGCCCAAGTACATAATAATATCGTTCATGGACCCTCAGGGAATCATCTTAAATAAGGCTCCCCCTAAACCCTAAACCCTAAAGCCTAAACCCTAAACCCTAAACCCTAAACCCTAAACCCTAAACCCTAAGGCTCTTTGCGGGCCGATGTCCAGAGTTGTAGTGCGAATATACCCTCTGGATTTTGCGGCCTGAAGCCCCAAACCCTAAACCCCAAGCCCTAAACCCTAAACCCTAAACCCTAAACCCTAAACCCTAAACCCTGAACCCTGAACCCTAAACCCTGAACCCTGAACCCTAAACCTATTATAGACCCTAAGCTTCTGGGGTTCTCTTGCAGGATCAGCACCATTACCCTCAACGGAGATCTCCTGAGAGCCGCACAGCGCACGGGCTTGCTGGGCTCGCAGTGACTCGGCTACGTCATCACGAGGTTGAGGGCCCTTTTTCGGGTTTAGGGTTTATAGGGTTTAGGGTTTAGGGTTTGGGGTTTAGGATTTAGGGTTTAGGGTTTTGGGTTTTGGGTTTTGGGTTTAGGGCTCTAGAAGTAGGTTATATATCAGGGATTTTAGGGTTCTGAGGTTTTATTTGGGGTTGCCCAGGGTTTCATCAGGATTGTAGGGTTGAGGGTTGTGCGGTTGTAGGGCTTTGGGGTTTGGGGTTTTTGTGTGGTGGAGTTGTAGGGTGTTATGGGCTGTAGAGTTTAGGGGTTTAAGGTTGTAGGGTTGTGGGGCTGTAGGGTTGTAGCGTCGCAGGTTGCTTTTGAGCTTTAGGGTTTTAGGGTTTTAGGATTTAGGGTTTTAGGATTTAGGGTTTTAGGATTTAGGGTTTTAGGATTTAGGGTTTTAGGATTTAGGGTTTTAAGGTTTGGGTTTTCTAGTTTAGGTTGCCTTACTACTAACCGCCAAACTCCAAGTCCAACAACCCATCCCTGCACCCTAAACCCTAAACCCTAGGCCAAGCACCTAAATCTTGCACCCCAAACCCAAATTCATGGGTTCCCCTACCACCCTCCTCTATACTACCCCCCACTAAGTTGCCCCCTGACATGACCTTGACTAATTACGCTGAACTATCCCCAAATAGCCTTAATTGTGGGTGGAACCCTAGGAGAGGGTAGTGTAGAGGGGGGTAGTAGGGGAAGCCATGACAAACTCCTAGGGTTTAGGGTTTAGGGTTTAGGGTTTAGGGTTTAGGGCTCAGGAACTCTAAGCCCAAACTCAGGCCGACGACGCCTACGACGACAATGGCCACCACCATGGCGCCCACAACGACCACGGCATCCACTGGATCCCAGCGCTTTGGCCCTAAACCCTAAACCCTAAACCCTAAACCCTAAACCCTATACCCTAAACCCTAAACCCTAAACCCTAAACCCTAAACCCTAAACCCTAAACCCTAAACCCTAACCCTAAACCCTAATCCCTAAATCCTAAACCCTAAAAAAAACCTTAAAAACCCTAAACCCGAAACCCTAAAGCCTAAACCCTAAAACCCCTAAACCCGAAACCCTAAACCCTAAGCCCTAAACCCTTTCGGGCTTTCGGGGGGGAGAGACCCAGAGATTCAGGGCTTCCGAAGTTTTTTGCCAGGCCCCGAAACCCCCCCCGCCCCAAGCCTAAAGTTCGGGGGCTTTAGGGCTTCGCAGTGGTGTTCAGGGTTCAGGGTTTAGGGTTCAGGGTTTAGGGTTTATAGGGTTTATAGGGTTTATAGGGTTTGTAGGTTTTATAGGGTTTTGGGTTCAGGGTTTAGGGTTAGGGTTTAGGGTTGAGGCCCCCCGTCTACAGCTTGCATTGTAAGCTTCAAACCCAAACCCCGAGTCCTATAAACCTTAAACCAGCAACCTGAATCCCTAAACCCTAAACCCTAAACCCTAAACCCTAAACCCTAAACCCTAAACCCTAAACCCTAAACCCTAAACCCTAAACCTTTCAATTCAGCCTTTGCCAGCCAAGGAAGGTGTTTGAGCCTGTGGATGGCGGCGTGGACAGGCGGGGGGGGGGGGGGGGGGGGAAAGGGCAGAGAGTCGTTCTTGTTGTCCCTAAACCCTAAACCCTAAACCCTAAACCCTAAACCCTGAACCCTGAACCCTAAACCCTAAACCCTACACCACGAAATCCCCCGCACTTCTCCTGCACCTCTACCAGTGAGCCCCGCAGACAAGACCCTAAACCTCCTATGGTTTCTTCGCACGACGCGCCTGTAGCTTCCCTGCCTGCTTTTGGGTTAACCAAAAACCCTAAGACTTGTACAGCCCAAATACACTAGACCCTGAAACCCTTTGCCCTTGGCCCTAAAACCAAACCGGAGCCCTAAAACCCCAAAACCCTGAACCCCTAAACCCTAACCCCCTAACTTCCCCCCCCCCCCCCCCCTTTCAGAACCTAAAGCCGCCCCGAGAGATAACGGTAGGCCGGTAGGCTCCCAAGCCCTCGTAGGGTTTAGGGTTCAGGGTGGGTCTGATGGTCTGATGGTCTTCGGGCTTCAGGGTTTTCAGGGTTGAAACCCTCAAGCTGTCTAGGCTGTAGAAGCTCTATTCGGGTTTAGGGTTTAGGGTTTAGGGTTTAAAGGCCCAGGACCTATGAGATCCCCTAAACTGGACCTGAGGGTTTAGGGTTTAGGGTTTAGGGTTTAGGGTTTAGGGTTTAGGGTTTAGGGTTTAGGGTTTATGACTTGGAGTAACACTACTTGGACCATCGGCTGCCTAGGTTTTCTAGAGGTCCTTCAAAACCCCTATAAGCCCTAAACCCTACAATTAGTTTAGGGTTTAGGGTTGAGGGTTTAGTAAAGGGTTTAGGGTTTAGGGTTTAGGGTTTAGGGTTTAGGGTTTAGGGTTTAGGGTTTAGGGTTTAGCCTAGACCCTGAACACCAAACCCTGCGTAAAGCCACAAACAAAGCGGCCCTAGATCCCGGCAGCCTCAGGGTCTAGGGTTTAGGGTTTAGGGTTAGGGTTTAGGATTTAGGGTTTAGGGTTTAGGTTTTAGGTTTTTTTTGCCTCAGGGTCTGCCGCGGCAGCAGCCCGTCTGACAACAACCCGAGCCCCGTGGCAGAAACTCAGTTTGGGGTTTGAGGGTTTAGGGTTTTAGGGTTTAGCGCTTTGGGAGTGAGAGTTTGGAGTTTAGGTTTGGGGTTTAGGGTGTTGGGTCATCGGGTTTGGGTGTAGGAATGCCAATATTCAATCCTATGCACCCTTTCCCCGCTTTAGGCTTGCCGGGCTCTAAGATGTCCCTCGTTAAAGGAGGGTTTCAATTAGGGGGGTGGGGGGGGGGGGGGGGGGGGCGTTAGGGTTTGGGGTTTAGGGTTTAGGGTTTAGGGTTTAGGGTTTGATTTATGTTCTAATTACATTGTGGCCCTAGCCCCGGATAGCTGGATTCAAGGACGCAGGCAGCCAGTTATAGGGTTTAGGGTTTAGGGATGTGGGCAGAGTGATGACAAAAAACAACCGCCGCCGCCGGAACCGTGCCCATTTTTTTGTGACAGTTGGCGTTTCGCCTAGGTGAAATTCTCTTTTTAAATTATGGCTGCCGAAAAGCAAGGCCGGTTTTTGAGGGTGTTGTTGCGGAAACGTTGTGTTTTCGCAAAAGTTTAAGGTCATTTTGTTGCATGGGACTTCAGCACAATTTACTGAATGCACTCGGACAGTTTCTTTTGCATGCGTCTTCCGGCTTTATCGGGTTGTCGGGGTCGAGGCTTTGCAACGGCATGGCCGATTTTGACAAGCAAATCTGAAGCAAATGCGCTGTAAACAACAGTGATTTGCAACGTGCTCGCAAAAGGTATGAACACTTGTGCATGAACACTTGTGACAGCGCAACTGGTTGCAGAAGCATCAAACATGCTCTTGCAGCATATCTTATAAAGGGCAAACACGCCGAACATTCCAGTGTTGTGGGCATGTTCGCAAAAGGCTTGTGACAGTGCGTCTTGTTCTGACCACGTCAAGCATCCTGGTGCAGCATGTTGTATCTGCAAATACCGATGTTTTTGGCATGGTTACAGTAACCACCCCCCCCCGCCCTCCCTTTCCCAGAGACACACGAAAAAACGGGTACGGTTTCAACGACGCCTGCAAACCAAAATGGGGCGCTAGCAAGCTGTTCGTGCCTTCCTTTTCGCTACAGGTAGGGCCAACACCCTTACGAACGTGTTGCTTAGGGACTTCTAACCGACAAGTCGCACTTACAGCCCACTACGGGACCTGACGATCCCACTTGTAACATGGGGGCCCCTTGTTGGACCGGATTGCCAAGGGGGACAGCGCACCTTCAATGCTTTATCTGGCCATTGGCACGTGAAAGGGCATGCCAAGGAAGCTCTTTCGACTTAGAAAGTGTATTTAGGGTTTAGGGTTTAGGGTTTAGGGTTTAGGGTTTAGGGTTTAGGGTTTAGGGTTTAGGGAAACCCTATTATTATCCATAACCCGCCTTACCAACCCCACATACTAAGTCAAAAGGGCTTCCAAGCAGGTCTGATGCTTAGCATTCCAGACTTCCAATTGTCCGGATGCTAAAGCCTAAGCCCTGTACCCTAAACCCTAAACCCTAAACGTTAAACCCTAAACCCTAAACCCGAAACCCTAAACCCTAAACCCTAAACCCTAAACCCTAAACCCGTCGGGCTTAGGGTTCAGTGTTCATAAGGCTTGCCCCCAAGCCGTTCAGCGCAATGGAGTGCTGGAGTGGCCTGCAGCAGTGGCTGCAGGAGCTGTCAGAGGCAGCCGACGAGGGCCAACGCGACGGCTGGCGTGCACGCCAGGAGATTCCACGCATCCTCAAGGTGACTCAAAGCATCCTCAAGGCGACTCAAGGTTGGTGATCTGGATGAGCCACTGCTGCTGAACGCAGGTGCCGTCGGCCCTAAACCGTAAACCCTAAACCCCAAAACCCTAAGCGGGGTGTGAATTCACCCCCCTGTGACAACCTAGGCCTTCGGGCTACAGCCCAGTATCCTAAACCTGCAAACCAACGACCTTAAACCCTAAAAGCCCTAGGGTTTAGGGTTTAGGGTTTGGGGTTTAGGGTTTAGGGTTTAGGGAGTTTAGGGTTTAGGGTTTAGGGCTAAACCCTAGAGCCCAAGAAGGCGGAAGCATGCCCTGCGCGCGCTAAGCCCGAAACCCCGAACCCTCAACCCTGAACCCCCTCTCAACAACAACTTGGTAGGTCAGTGGTGCCCTGATCCCTTTTGTTGGTTCCAGGTTCCCTTGTAAAGTAACCAACCCAAAAAAGGGGTGCCCTTGCTAGAATATGGGTTACTGGGCTTCCGAGATAACCTTTTTTGGATTTCAAGTGGGGTTAGGTACCCAAGATTCCCTAGTACTCCCCACTACTCCCTAAGGCTCCCTAAGCTTGCTAAGGTTTAGGGTTTCGGGTTTAGGGTTTAGGGTTTAGGGTTTAGGGTTTAGGGTTTAGGGTTTAGGGTTTAGGGTTTAGGGTTTAGGGACACGACCCCCTATGAAGAACCCTTGAAACCCTAAACCCTAAAACCCTTACGGAGCCCAAGGCTACTACTCGATTGCCACAGCCGCTTCACTGGAGGACTGCAGCCTGGCATGCATGCCTCCGCGGCTTAGGGTTTGCGGATTTTGATGAGAATTTAGGATCATTTGGGGGATTTTAGTGGTCTGAATTGGGCGAGCTTTAGGGATTTCAAAAACAGCCGGGAAAATTGGGGGATCTTCGGGATTCAGGTGAGGGAATGGGGGGCGTTGGGTTTAGGAATCCGGGGCCCTAAACCCTAAACCCTAAACCCTAAACCCTAAACCCTAAACCCTAAACCCTAAACCCTAAACCCTAAACCCTAAACTCCACTAAGGGGTAGGAGGAGAGACCCCTAGAAGGGACCCTTAATCTTATTCCCTATATATAGCCCTTCCATATCCCCCCCCCCCCCCCCCCAAATATCCCCCAAAGAACCCCTAACGTCCCTTATAAGGATCCCCTCCTTCAGTCCCTTGACTCTACGGGGTTGTGGGTGCTGAGTTCTGGGCTGTTGCACTTGGAGCTTGGGTCTGGAGTTGGGTGCAGAATAGTACCCTGCACTTGCATCAAAACAGTTGTAGGGTTTAAGGGTTTGGGGTTTCCAGATTGACTTGATTTAAGCCTCCCACGCCCGAAGCCCGGAAAACACGAATCTCAAAACTCTACAAGTCTACAAGCCTCAAAATCTCTAAGCACAATCCACCCTGAACCTAAACTTTTTGGGTACCCTAACTATTAGAGGCTGCCTTGCGAGAGCAACCCCAAAAGGGACGATCCTAAACCCTAAACCATGACCCTAACCCCCAAACCCTAAACAGTGACCACACAGAACTAAACCCTAAACCCTAAACCCTAAACCCTAAACCCTAAACCCTAAAACCCTAAACCCTAAATCCTAAAACCCTAAACCCTCCACTAGCCACGAAAAGGGGCAGAGCCCACAAAGCCAGGGTTTAGGGTTTAGGGCTTAGGGTTTAGGGTTTTGGGTTTAATTACGGCTTAGGGTTCGGGGTTTAGGGTTTAGGGCTACTCTCACACTCAAGCCCCTAAACACCCTAAACCCTGTAGACCCTGAGGCAAGTCGAAGTGCGTTGCCGACAGCGGGTGCGTTGGGCTCGAGTTCAAGGCCTAAACCCTAAACCCTAAACCCTAAACCCTAAACCCTAAACCCTAAACCCTAAACCCTAAAACCCTAAACCCTAAACCCTGAACGGGCTCCTACTTTTTGTTGCAGATGACAGGAGCCCTAAACCCTAAAGCCTAAAGCCTAAAGCCTAAAGCCTAAACCCTAAACCCTAAACCCTAAACCCTAAACCCTAAACCCTAAACCTTAGCCTAAACCCTAAACCCTTAAAGGTGACAGCTATGTCTATACATATTGGTGATTTCTCTAACTTTTGGTCCCTTTTGGGGTCCTTATTTGCAGGCTGCCCCTCTTATCTGTGGTTTAGGGTTTGGGGCTTTGGGGTTTAGGATTTGGGGTTTAGGGGTAGTTATATGGGGTTTTCCGAAATTAGGGGCACCTTATTGGGGGGGGGGGGGGGTACTATTGAGGGGTCTATATTCAGGGTCCCCTCTTTTCGTCAACCCCCATATAGATATATATATGTATATACATATACATGTATATGGGCCTAGGGCCTAGGGTTCTTATGTTCTCAAAAGTGTCCATTGGCTCATAGGAGGGGCCAGATGTTGAAGCCCTAAATGATGGGGTTTAGGGTTTAGGGTTTAGGGTTCAGGGTTCAGGGTTTAGGGTTTAGGGTTGAGGGTTTAGGGTTTGCAAGGATGGTTGGAACGCCCCTCGGTTGTTGTAGGATTCTAGACTTTTGTCGGTGGGTTGCAGCCGACTGGCTTACATCAAGGCTTAGGGCTTATGTTGTTTTTTTGTTTTACAGGTGTAGGGTTGAAGGGCAGCCACAGCCCGAAATCTTTGCAAATATGTTCAAAAGCTGCTGTTGGCAAAAGACAACGCAACAATGGGTGTCCATGGCCAACAAGCCTGCTACTGGTCTAGCCCTCGCCATGCAAGAGATGTGTGAGCCGGAAGACGCTATAGTGGGCGCTACAAGTAGGGCAACAACATAGAGTTGCAAGGCTGAACCCAAGACGACCCCAGAACCCTCAACCCTAACAGCCTAAACCTTCTCAAGCTCCCGCCCTAAATCCTGAAGCCCAAGAACTCTTGCTCCCAAAAAGAATCCCAAACGCTAAAACCCGAACCGCCAAAATCCCAAAACCCTCAAAGCCCTAAACCCCAAATCCATTCAGCCCAGCCCCAAACCCAAACCCCTAGACCCCAAGCCCTAACCCTAAAAACTAAGACCCCAAACCCTAAGCCCTAAAGCCTACACCGCAAACAAGCCCCAAACCCCCAAATCCCAAAGCCCAAACCCTCCTAAACCCTAAACCCCCAACCCGAAGCCCTAAACCCTAAACCCCAAACGCTGAACCCCAAGCCCTAAACCCCGAACCCTAAGCCCAAACCCTCCTAAACCCCTTGCGAAGGGGAGCCGCTGCGAGATCTGGACGCGAGCCGGGGGCATCCAGGCGTCCAAAGCGCTGAGTGCCGAAGACTGCAAAGGATTTGTTTAGGGCTTTTGGGGTTTGGGGTTTAGGGTTTAGGGCTTTTGGCTTTACAGAGGATCAGGCGTTCAGCGTTTAGGCCCTTCTGGGTTTAGTTTAGGGTTTAGGGTGTATGGCTCTTTTTTTAGGGTTTTAGGGTTCTCATAGTGTTCATAGGGTTTGGAGTTTAGGGTTTTTCGGGCCTGAGTGTTTGTTGTGTAGGGCTTTTAGTGTTCATAATGTTTTAGTTAGGGCTTTTGTTTGTTTGGGGTGGGTTTGAGGGTTTTGTTCATAATGTTTTTAGTTAGGATTTTTGTTGTTTTTGTTGGGGTGGGTTTCAGGGTTTCCAGCGCTTTAGGTTTTTAGGGGTTATAGGATTTGTTGGTGTTTTTAGTGTTGTTAGTGCTTACGTAGGGCTTTTGGGTTGTAGGGCTTTTGGGCTTCAAAAGAGTGCAGGGCTTTAAAGGCTTCAGGATTCTTAGGGGTCTGACGGCTTCAAGGGGCATAGGGTTGCCAGGGTTTGTTGCACTGAGAGCTTTAAAACCCTTAACTCGAAGTACAGGGCTTCTCGGGCCATTATTCAGGAAAACCTTGCCGTTCGGGTACGGCTCAATAAGGTTCTCGTGGCTATACGGCCACGATAGAACCTGCAAGCAAGTCCAAACCCTAAAACCTTAAACCTGAAATCCCTATAAAACCTAAACCCTAAACCCTAAACCCTAAACCCTAAAAGCCCTAAAAACCCTAAAAACCCTAAGCCCTAAACCGCAACTTCATCGCCAAGCAAAGCGCGAGCAGCCTCAAAACTCAGCTCCAGGGGTGCCCCCCAGCCAAGGGCATCGGGGTTTAGGGTTGAGGGTCTGGGGTTTAGGGTTTCGGGTTTCGGGTTTAGGGTTGAGGCGGTTGAGGGTTTAGGGTTTCGGGTTTAGGGCGTACGGTTCAGGGTTGAGGGAATTTGGGTTGGGGACCCTTCTGTAAGATCCTTTGAGGGAATATAAGGGAGTATGTTAAGGGAACCTAGGGGTACGTCCTCAGAACACCCCCCCCCCCCCCCCCAAACCATGAAACCCTACACCCCAAACACTAACCCGAAACTCTGAACACCACGCCCTAAACTCGTTTTGGGTTTCGGGTTCAACCCTAAGCCCTAAGCCCTAAGCCCTAAGCCCTAAACCCTAAACCCTAAACCCTAAACCTTAAACCCTAAACCCTAAACCCTAAACCCTGGCCGTGATAAGGCGGCTACACCTGCCTTCGCTACGGAGTTCCCGTTGCCCTGCGGCCGGGCAGCTGGGAGGCCGGCCGGGTTTAGGGTTTAGGGTTTAGGGTTTAGGGTTTAGGGTTTAGGGTTTAGGGTTTAGGGTTTAGGGTTTAGGGGTTTCGGGGTTTAGGGGGTTAGGGGGTTAGGGGTGCAGGGGTTTAGGGTTTAGGGTTTAGGATTTAAGGAATTGGGGGTTTGGGGTTTTGGGTCTAGGTTTTCGGGTTTAGGAAACTCTTTGCTCTTAGCAACGTGTTTTTTGTGGCTCTGGTAAGCTTACGAGTTTTTGGTGGGGAGCTAGGTGCCCAAAACCCTAATCGCAGAACCGATGAAAGAAAGTGAGGAGAAAGCCTTGGGTCCTGCTACAGCCCTAACTTGCGGTGCCCTGCAAAGTGCCACAAACGACTTCGACCTGGACCCTCTCCAGTTTGGAATTGAGACTTTGGCAGGGTTTAGGCTCTATAACCCTAAACCCCGAAGCCCCTCCCGAATTCCCAAACCCCTCAACCCTAAATTTTCGAAACTCTTAAACCCCAAACTCCTAAACCCTATACGAGCCCCCAAACTCCTAAACTCGAAACCAAAAAACACTAAACCCTACACCCTTAAACTCCTTAACCCTGGGAATAGCCGTACACCCTAAACTCCAGACCCTCAACCCTAAGCCCCAAGCCCCTAAGCCCCTAAACCCTTAAACTCCTAAACCCTGGGAATAACAATAAACCCTAGACTCCAAACCCTAAACCTCAAGCCACTAAACTCCTAAACTCCAAACCCTAAACCTAAACCCTAAATCCTGGGAATAGCCCTAAACCCTAAACCCTAAACCCTAAACCCCAAACCCTAAACCCTAAACCCTAAACCCTAAATCCTAAACCAGACCCTGAGCCCAAACCCACCTAACCTCCTAAACCCCTAACCTGAAAGAAGCCTTCGAGGCGGTGGATGGCGGCGAGGGCCGCGCCTGTCGCGGTGCCAGCATCAGCGACAACCAGCCGTCCTACTTCCGCGTGCTGCAAGGCAGTTAGGGTTTAATTAGGGTTTAGGGTTTAGGGTTTAAAGTTTAAAGGGCTTAGGGTTTAGGGTTTAGGGTTTTCCGCTGCAAGGCAGGGCTGGAAGATGTCTTTAGATTTGAACTCCGAGGTGTTTGTAGTCGTTTAGGGTTTCGAGTGTAGGGTTTTTGGGCCTATGGTTCCACGATTCGGCCCGAAGTGCTCCTACACCCCTAAACTTTGAACCCTGAACCCTGAGCCCTAAGCCCTGAAGACCTAAACCCCCCCTCACCCGAAGCTTAAACCCCTGCGTCTCCGCAGGCACCACCCGAGAAGGCTGCCAGCGCCAATGCCAGAGCAGTGATGATTGCGTCGGCATTGAGCATCACGAAGGCCCCCCCCCCCCCCCCCCCAGCCTGTTTTGCATCATGCAGCCCTATGACTAGGATGCCCAGTAGTACCCTTATTCCCTTTTTGGGGGGTTTCGGTTCCCTTATAAACCCCTTTAAGCAAAAAAGGGCATCGTTAGACCTACCTCAACCCAAAGCCCAAAATCCTAAACCCTAAACGCTAAGCCTTACTTATCCCCTAAACTCTAACCCTAAACAACCCGAAACCCCAAGCCCTAAACCCGAAACACCCCACAGTTGCTGTAGATGCTTGCAACAGGCGGACGCTGCGAGATTTGGACGCGTGTGCTGGGGATCCAGGCCTCAAAGGAATTGGCAGGCCGGACGGTTTAGGGTTTAGGGTGCAGGGTTTAGGGTTTTCAGGGATTAGGGTCTAGTTAGGGGTTTAGGGTTTTATCAGGGGTTTGGGGTTTCGGGTCTAGGGTTTGCGAAATATTCGGAGTCCTTTTTGGAGGTTTGGGGTTTAAAGTCCAGGGCTTAGGGTTCACCCAAATCGGAGTTTTGGGTTTAGTGTTTAGAGTTTAAGGATTGGGCCATCCTGAGAATGGAGCGTCCACAGTGTTCAGGGTTCAGGGTGTGGGCTTGAGGGTTTTAAGGGTTTGGGTCTTAAAGTGTTGTTACTCGGTTGGAAGGCGTGAAAGGGCACTCAAACAAAAACCATCAGGTATCCTCGAGCCCTCCCAGTGCCCTAAACCCTAAACCCTAAGCCCCAAACCTTGCACCGCAGCCCGAGGCTACTCCTGCTGGCGCTTTGTGCCGGAGGGAACCACTGGCCCGATCCGGAGGGAAGGCGGTTTAGCGTTAGGGTTTGGGGTTTAGGGTTTGGGGTTTGGGGTTTAGGGTTTAGGGTTTAGGGTTACTGACGGTTTATGGGGTTTAGGGTTTACAGGGTTTATAGGGTTTATAGGGTTTATAGAGTTTATAGGGTTTATAGGGTTTGGGGTTTGGGGATTAGGGCTTAGGGCTTAGGGCGTTGGGAAAATAACCCACCCTAAACGGGTTTTGGGTTTTGTAGGTTTTCGCCGTATAGAAGTAGGGCACCCCCCCCCCCCCCCCAAGTCATACAACGGTGAAGAGGGCTGAAAGTCTTGCTACTTAGGTCTTAGGTTGCAGTCTTCTGAACTACAGGCTTTAGGATCTAGGGCTTAGGGTTCAGGGTCTAGGGTCTAGGGTTTTAGGGTTTAGGGTTTAAGGGTTTAAGGGTTTAAGGGTTAAGGGTTTAGGGGTTAAGGGTTTCGGGTTCAGGGTTTAGGGTTAAGGGTTTAGGGGTTAAGGGTTTCGGGTTTAGGGTTTAGGGGGTTGTGGGTGGTGGGAGGCAGTCTGCAGGCTGTCACGGCACCGGAGCAGCCCTTGACCTTACACCTTTAACCCCCCAAACCCGAAACCCTAAACCCGAAACCCTAAACCCTAAACCCTAAACCCTAAACCCTAAACGCCAAACCTTCCTTCCTCCAAGCGCCCACAGCCGCCGGCCGGGGAGAGGCGAGTTCGAGGCGGTGGACGGAGCAACTGACCGCGTCTGCCGTGGTTCCAGTGCCCAAGCATCGAACTAAGGGTTTTAGGGTGTTAGGGTACAAGGATGGTTTGGGGTTTAGGGTTTAGGGTTCAGGGTTTAGGGTTTAGGGTTTAGGGTTTGGGGTTTAGGGTTTAGGGCTTAGGGTCAGAGCTTTGGCTATGGGATGGAAAAGTCGTGCGATTTGGGCTCGAGAGTGTGGGGTCCATCTAGTGTTGGTTCCTAATCTGGGCCTAGGGTTTAGGGTTCAGGGTTCAGGGTTTTAGGGTTTAGGGTTTAGGGTTTCGGGGAGGATCATGTAAGCTGTACACCCTACACCCTAGATGTGCGGACCGTACTCTACGTCGGTTTTGCAGACTTAGCGACGAGAGGATTTGGGGGTTGCGCGAACCAAAGCAAGTCTTCTGAGGGTCCACCCTAAACCCTAAACCCTAAAACAGTGGGTGTACTTGCGCCCTGAAGTAGCTGACACTGTATGCTGTGGTGGGGCCCAAAGACCTCAGACGTTAAACACTTGCCCCTAAACCCTAATTTTTCTAGACCCCGAAAACTAAATCCTGAAAGGGTCCCTATTCATTGGCCTTGGCGTTGGATTGCAGGCTTTAGGGCAGAGGGGCTGAGGGTCCAGGGTCGAGGGTTCAGGGTTGAGGGTTTCGGGTTTGGGTAGGTTTTGAGTTGAGAGAGTTGACGGTTAGGGGCTAAGGGGCTTGAGGGGCTTGAGTGGTTGAAAGTTTTAGAGTTCAAGGCTTAGGGGTTGAAGTGCTTAGGGGTTGGCAGGTTGAAGGTGATTCATGGTCCAGGGGTTGCAGTCAAGGAATTATTGGCGGTTGACCCATGAGGCTCAAGGAACCCTAAACCCTGAACCCTGAGCCCTAAACCCTAAACCCTAAACCCTAAGCCCTAAACCCTAAACCCCAAACCCTAAACCCTAAACGTCATTGATGTCATTGATGTCGGCCCCAGGCCCCACTGATAACGCAGCGAGCTACTTCAATGCGGTGTCTGGCCTAGCGACGCTCCAATCCTGTCAGGATCTCATGCGCAAGGGACTTGGGTTTAAAGTTTAGGGTTTGGGGCTTAGGGTTTAAAGTTTAGGGTTTAGGGTTTAGGGTTTAGGTTTTAGGGTTTAAAGCTTAGGGTTTAGGGTTTAGGGTTTAAAGTTCAGGGTTTAGGGTTCAGAGCAACCCGAGCGTCCCCTAATCATGAGCCCCGGACTCTCTTAAGCATCCCTCATGCCCTTGCCAGTGCTAGATGGGTAGTTCTGAAACTTGGGGTCCCTTCTTGGGGGGTCCTTGGGAGGTACCGTCCTTAATAGGGGTTAGAGTGCCCCCACCCCCCCCCCCACCCCTTATTTCAACTTTAGGACTGTTAGTATAGTCTTGAATAGGTTTAGAGTACCAGGGGGAACATCGCAAGGTCCTTATTTTCAGGGTGCCGTACTATAGAAAGACCCCAAAAGGGACCCTAATTTAGAGAGCAGCCCATAGAATGTACAGAAAAGTAGGTTTGCCGTGATGCTATGGTTTTGGGGTTTAGGTTTAGGTCGCGTTTTGGGTTGGGGTGGAGGAGGAGCTTTTAACTCTAATGAGCCTCCAACCCTAAACCCCAAATCCGAAACTGAACGCCCCAAGAGCAAGACCTGAAACAAACCTGCGGCAGGACCTGTGCCGGATCACAGGCAGCTGCAAGGGAGCCCGGGCAGCATTTTGTTTTGGTGTTTAGGGTTTCGGGTCTAATTAGGGTTTAGGATTTAGGGTTTAGGGCTTAGAGTTTAGGATTTAGGCTTTAAGGTTTAGGGTTTAGGGTTTAGAGCTCTGTGTGTCATGGTCTAAAGCTTGGGACAATCATGTGCACCCTATTGGTTACTCGCTGGTTCCTGGGGAGATTAAGCATTTCGGGTTTAGTTCCGAAACCCTATAAACCCTAAACCCTAAAATGTAGGGGGCCTGTTGCTGGGCCATAGTGCTCAACATCGGCCTTACCTTTCCCTTCTCTGGCGGAAGGGCACTATAGGCTTCAGCTAGATCCCCTTGGGAATTGTTTTCATATCTTTGTTTCTATAAAGCCCAAGAGGATATTGAACATATATTTTGTTCTTAGATTAAGGTTCTTGGGGGAGTATTG